AAAGCAGTGAACACAAAGTTACAGGATGGAGACATCAGTGGAGCTGTCAAGATACTCACCTCCGAAGATACTGTTGCTGAACTTTCGGAGGGAGTTTTACGGGCGCTTAAAGATAAACATCCAGATCCACCAGCGGATCTGGATACAACGGTCTGTGATGTTGCCCCCATAACGCATGATGTTTCTGTTGATGACATTCTTTGTGCTGCGAAGTCTTTTCCTGCAGGCTCTTCAGCAGGCCCTGATGGTTTACGGCCACAGCATCTTAAAGATATGCTGAGTGTGCAAGGGGATACGAGCACGCACCTCTTATCGGCCTTGGCGAAACTGGCCAAAGTGGTTCTTGCGGGAAAAATACCTGCGGCTACCAAGAGAGTGTTTTTTGGTGGAATATTGACACCCCTTCGAAAGAAATCTGGTGGAATTCGCCCGATTGCATGCGGATGTACCCTTAGACGGTTGTTCAGTAAGCTGATCGGGCATCGCGTCCAAGACCAGATGGGTGAGCTGTTTCGTCCTGTTCAGCTTGGCTATGGAACGCGTGGTGGTGCTGAAGTTGTAGTTCATTCTGCGCGGAAGTTTCTGGACCAGGAAATCAATGGAGTGAAGGTTCTTCTGAAAGTTGATTTTGCCAACGCATTCAATACCGTGCGACGAGATGTTATGTTGAAGAAAGTGGCGGAAATAATTCCTGAATATTATGCATTTTTATATGCAGCATATGGGAGCTCTTCGTCGTTATTCTGTGGTGAAAATATTATTTTATCGGCTCATGGTATTCAACAAGGAGATCCTCTGGGACCGTTATTGTTTTGCTTGTGTACGGATGAGCTTTCTAAAGGAATGCAATCCTGTTTTAACGCGTGGTATTTAGACGATGCAACATTTGGTGGTGCAGTGGTTTCAGTGTTGTCGGACTTCCAAACTATTGTTCATTGCGCATCAGAACTAGGGCTACAGATTAACTCAGAAAAATGTGAGCTGTTCATGAGTGGCGGAACGGTGACTGAGCAAGAAGAGATTTTCCGGATGTTCAGTGAAGTTGCACCTGGAATCCAGTGGATAAGAGAGGAACAGCTGGACCTGTTGGGTGCCCCGCTTACTGATTGGGCAATAGGGCGAGTGCTGGATGGCAAGATCGGTCAGATCGAAAGACTGACCGATCTTCTTGGTGTGTTACCAGCTCATCAGTCGCTATATCTACTTAAGAATAGCCTTTCTCTGCCGCGGTTATTGTTTACTCTTAGGTGTGCGCCTTGTTGGAAGTGCCCTGAAAAGTTGCATGAATTTGATGAACGCGTACGAAAGAAGGCGGAAGAAATCACCAACGTCCAAATGTCCGAAGCAGTCTGGAAACTGGCTTCCTTACCGGACCGGATGGGTGGGATAGGGCTTCCTAAAGCACAGGAAATTTCTCTGCCTGCCTACTTATCCTCGCGTTATGCTACAGAGGCACTCGTAGCCAAGATCGTGCCCGCGGACGGCGAAGATGACATGAAGTTGTGTGTAGAGAAGTTTCAAGAGATTAGTGGCGAACCGGCCCCACCTGAAGTGCATCGTCGTTATCAGTCTGCCTGGACGGCTATTGTGTATGCCAAGGAGCATCGATATTTAGTGGAGAATGCTGACGTTATCGAGAAAGCACGCTTGTTGGCAATTTCTACGAAAGAATCGGCTGCTTGGTTGTCCGCTTTGCCCGTCGCCAGCCTTGGTAATTTGTTGGACGATGTGGCTGTGAGGATCGCGGTTGCGCTACGGTTGGGTGCTCCTATTTGCAGTGAGCATAAATGTATTTGTGGTCATATAGTTGACAAGTTCGGCCGCCACGGTCTATCTTGTAAGCGTAGTAAGGGACGGATACCTCGCCACGAGCATTTGAACGATATCACACAAAGAGCGATTGGATCAGCGAAGATATCGTCTATCCGTGAACCACCTGGTTTGGATCGGAAGAATGGCAAGCGGCCTGATGGACTAACTCATTATCCTTGGAAGAATGGCAAAGCGTTGGTGTGGGACGTTACCGTAGCCGACACTTTTGCGCAGACATATATCGGTCAGACATCCGATCATGCTGGCGCTGCAGCAGAAGCGGCCGAACACCGGAAGTGCGGCAAGTATGCTGACTTTGCTGATCGGTACATTTTCCAACCCGTAGCGTTGGAAACAATGGGAAGCTGCGGTCCTCTGACCATGGATTTCTTCCATGAGGTGGCTAGACGCATCAGAGAGCAGACCGGTGAAATCCGCGCGAAGCATTTTCTGTTACAACGTTTTAGTATAGAAATTCAGCGCGGTAATGCTGCTTGTGTGTTGGGAACAGTTGAGAAGCAGCTTGATCTCGATGATGTGTTTTTGGTTTGTGTATAGTTGAGCAGACGGTTTTGTATGTACTGTGAATAAACTTCTGGCTATGGATTTCTGAACAGAACGGGGGTATTCTTTTTGACACCTGCGAAACGTATATCCGAAAGCTGCAGGATCACCCACTCTGTTTCCAGTTTATGGCGATGGTCCCCGCGGACCCGAAATCCAGAGCGATGGCCTTTAAGGCACTTATGCCTTTTCCGCCATTTCATAGTGCAGTCACTATCGGCCTTTTCCCAACCTCGACGAGAGAACATTCCTGTCATGTCGCCTATCATGACACGGACGCGACTTTTGATTGCGATTGTTTCACTAATAACGCCTTACGGGGGCTAGGGTTAAGTGCAGATTCTGAACTGCACAATAAGAATCGAGAGAATGGAACAGTAGTGTTTTCTCGCACAACTGACGTTTTTAACCATCGCCTCTGTAATACCCGAAAAAATAACGGTTCCTGTAATAAAATGACGGACGGCCGCGTTCTTTACCGCAAAGGTATTCCCGTATTCTTGTGCACTCGGTGCCTTTCTTCAGCTTATCGACACAAGGTGTGTGTTTGTACTGCAGAAGTCATTTTGGCCGAAAGTATTCCTCCGATGAGGGAATGTATTTATGGTCACAGATACCATGGTCAATGCGCTGTTAGCGACATATGTCCTCATTGCGCGTATTTGTTCCCGATGACGGAAAACGCTTCTAATGCGAGGAAGGACTCTGACAGTCCACCTCCTCTGGAAGCATATTCTGATTCCGACGCGGAATCAACCGTAACGGTGAATTTGGATGAGGAACCACAGAGAAAAGGATTGACCGTTCACAACCCCGTCTATGCTCCGGCTAAACCGGAAATCAAGAAAGTTTTACGAGCGATGATTCAGGTCCAGAAAACGAAGCACCGCCGCCTCCGGTTCCGGCGAAGCGTATGCGCGCTGGTCTACCAAGTTTCGTAACACTTTCTCTTCTTCTTTTACTCTGTACCCTGTCGGGTACGTACGGACTGAACACTACGCTATGCGATTGCTCACGCAGCAAATACGTGGGCAATTGCTGACCTTTCTGCGCGAATTCGATGCGATCAGTTGGATAGCCCTATCAGAGAAACTCATGATGTCAAGTACTATCTTCTCGACTATAAAAACATCACCCGACTTTTTCCCGGCTCCGCTTGCCGTATGATTCTGAAAAGTACGATACAAGAAGGTTTTTCTTCGGCGGGTATAACAGCCAGAATTTTGAGGTAGCACTTCCGGTCACCGCTGACCAGTGCCGTGACATGGTCCGAACAAAGACTTGTAGTGGCAACGCAATGATTAAAGTGGACGTACTTGGGTATACGACGTAATACCTGTGGTTGACCGCCGGTGGAACCAATTCCGCCGTGCCGACGTCGTTACCTGTCTCTTGGAGAACGTCACCCTCGAAACAACGTGTGACGACTGCCCAGTACTTTCCGCTACCGGCGAAATCTCTTCGTCGATTCTTGCCGAGTCCAGTGTTCATCCGCACGTAACTTACGTGTGGACTACTGACAAAAACCATACGAAGTGTCGCGTTAACACGGTTCTTAACAGCGAGGGACAGTTGTTCCAATTAAAATCAGGAGAGATCCACATTCGTGACCATCTACATCAACTCAGCTTTACGGTTGAGGAAAAAATGGAACGAACATACGATGAAGGCGCATCTGTTCATTACGTTCGCTCCCATCCGACACTTCGAATAAAATTTTACCATGCTTGGTATCGTCCTAATGTCACTGAAAAATCCGCCCTCCAGCTCGCCCACCTGTTGGCATCCAAAGTCGGTTGAATGTTAACCTTTCGGCAGAAATCGCCACCTTGCTATCGTCCCACCTTCAGTACGTTGAGGATTTCTTCGCATTTCAAGAAATGAAAATTTTCAATCACCTGCACAAGTTGCAATGCCAGGCCGATAAAACCGAAATGGAAAATCTGATACTACTTAGTCAGTTTTCCCCGGTGGTTGTCGGAACCAAACTCGGTTTCCCAAAATGCCAGGCTGCTGTAGTTCTAGGTGATTCAGCTACTATTTACCAGTGCACGGAAGTTAACGTCACGATCGGCGTAAAATACTCCACATGCGGACCAGATCCGTACATCGCAGCCGAAAATGATGACCGCGGCTACACTGTCGCTCTCGACGGTGAAACCCTTAAAAGACATTCAGTTTGCCTCCATCGGCACTCGGTAGTAATCGTACACGGAACTCTCTACCGTTACCAAGACGGTGTCTGGACTCCTGTAAATCTAATATTCCATAAAACGCTTGCGCACTGGCATTACACCGCAAAATTCCTGACGGACAACTTGGAAGACACTCTCGGTGACTCCTTGTCAGTGGATCCCTTCCGGTTTCTCGACTTGACAGCCGAGTTATCCGGCCTGATGTTGGAGACCGGTATTTCAAATTTGAGTACCATAATTACTCCAAAATATGTTCAGAGTACGATGAAGTCCATGACATGGCATAGCCTCTTAAATATTTCGTTTACTTCGATCACCGTTTTTATTGCTATGGTGTTTTGCGTTCGGTATCACCGAACGGTGATCGCGTTTTTAAGCTGTCTTATAGATTGTTGCCGCCCGCGTTCGCGCCGGCAATACGATTTTCAGGCTCGAAGGCAGGAAACGACTGCGGTCACCGCCACCGCTACGGAAACCCAGGACAGGAACCTTTCTCGGACTGTACCCACACGGACGGTGGACATTCCCATGACGCCGCGCTACCGTCCTTCGGACATGGTTCGACAGGATCCTGTCTACGCCAATGCGCGTATGGTCGCCGAGGACTCGGATGGATCAACGATCGGCGCCCGGACTCCGTCCCCGGATCACACGCTTGGCCCACGGACGGAACCGACGGTGACCTTTGGAAATGCGTTGATGGAACAGCGCCGGAAGTTGGCACCGGTTCGGTACGGAACTCCACCGACCGTGAGCAGCGTATAACCGCTTAGCATTAGCCTTATTTTTCCGCTCATGTACAGTCAGCCAGCAAATTAATTAAAAACACTCAAAAAAAACTATTGCAAAATTTCAAAAATATTGTATTTTATGCTGTTTGTTTTTATATTTTGCTTAGATACTTCAAATCAAGTCAGGTTCTCGCTTGTATTTAGTTCAATTTAACATAGTCAGGATTATTTACTTGAATTTTCAATAAAAAGGATCATTTTATTTTGTAGAAAATTTATCAAAAAACATTGGTCAGGAAATTTCCTTGGTTACTTGTCAGATTTTAATTGCAATTTTTAAAAAAACAAAAAGAAAGGTTCGTGAAGATCGACCCAGTTCTAATATGGGAACGCAGTTATATTAGGTTCGCTACCTGAAGCTTTAGATCGCCGAATTTTTATCAGTCATTACAGCCTTGCAGTGATCAGTGAGTGCTCGTAATAGGTAGGCAGAATTATGGCCATGGTTAACGCATTGTATTTTCGTGGTTAGCTGGAGATCTATTTTTTGGGGCAAGATTTGAAATATTAATTACAAACTTCCTACAAAGATGCTGGTGCAGCAGTTTGTTTGCTAGATGTCAAGGTGAGTATAATTGCTACAAATCTTCTAAAAAAAAAAACTCAGTGCTTAATAAAATAACAGTGTCTGATCAGCAATCCCGTTGCTGTAGCAATACTTTGGTCCTGGGCGTGTAACAACTCTAGCTTTCGGCGCATCACTGGTTTACGAGGTGTTGAGCCGTAAGTACGCGACTTGACCGTAAGACATGCTACTAATCTACTCAGACAAATTAACAATGCACTCGTCTGTACAAGTGTACGAAAAATTCCAACATGGGGAGAGGAAGTAGACGCTAAACGCGTGTTATAGACAGGCGAACAAACAGTGTTTGAAACCAGCGCAATAAGATCATGGAAATAAGCAAATGAATTTTTTTGTACAGATTTTGCCTCAGAGAATAGGATTTTCTGTTTAATTTCGTGAATACGGTGTGGTGTTGTGGTTTTGGTGTATGGTTGACCGCGGATCAAAGTTCAAGTTCAAGTGCGACCGAATGATATCATCAACAGCATCGCATTTATTATGAAAATGAGTCAGGGAATCTAAATCCAAAAACATTTATAAAATGAAAATTTGGTTTAACCCAGGTTTTCCTAAAAGCGTTACGAAAATAAAATACCAATTATTCCGCTGTATTACCTATATTTCTTATAACCGTATCAAGTATAAATATTATTTGCATAATAATACCTGTTTTTTCTTGGATGTGTTTCGCAAATTTCTAAACGCAAAAATAGCTGCTTTATCGTATTGCTGGTTGACTCGCTTTTCTGCTTTTCTTGTCTAGTTATGGACTGCGGACAGTCCTTTTTACACGGGGAGAAGTGTCACGTATAGATTCTTTGAGCGATATTCGCCTGCGATAGCCTTCGACTGATCATAAGGGCGATATGCCCATGAATGTTATTATCTGATAGACCGTTCCACTTGTTGCCGTTTTATACCGCTGCTTTTTCACTTTTCGGACACAGTTACTATGGTGCAGCCTAATTTCCTTCAACAACAATCCCTGACTCGCATTTGCCGTCTCGTTCGTTGCCGTTAATGCATATTTCCGTAAACACTGCATATTAGACTACGAAACCGGCCGGTCTTATACCGCCGTGACCTTTCAGTTTATTTCGCTCTGCCAATTATTCATGTAACAGAACTCAATAACTGCGTGGTGAAACTGCCCCAAAGTCTGCTTTTAATAGTTATTCGATGCGCTGAGCACGAATCTGAAATTGTTTTGCAAAAAAAGTTTCCCCAGTAAATGTTACTGTCAGACGTGTCACATTTTCACCATGTTGTCAGAACTCAATAACTACGTGGTGAAACTGCTCCAAAGTCTGCTTTTAAGGGTTATTCGATGCGCTGAGCACGAATCTGAAATTGGTTTGCAAAAAAAATTTCACCAAAAAAAGTTACTGTCAGACGTGTCACATTTTCGCCATGTTGTCAGAACTCAATAACTACGTAGTGAAACTGCTCCAAAGTCTGCTTTTAAGGGTTATTCGATGCGCTGAGCACGAATCTGAGATCGGTTTGCAAAAAAAATTTCACCAGAAAAAGTTACTGTCAGACGTGTACATTTTCGCCATGTTGTCAGAACTCAATAACTGCGTGGTGAAACTGCTCCAAAGTCTGCTTTTAATAGTTATTCGATGCGCTGAGCACGAATCTGAAATTGGTTTGCAAAAAAATTTCACCAGAAAAAGTTACTGTCAGACGTGTCACATTTTCGGTATGTTGTCAGAACTCAATAACTACTTGGTGAAACTGCTCCAAAGTCTGCTTTTAAGGGTTATTTCTTGCGCTGAGCACGAATCTGAAATTGGTTTGCAAAAAAAATTTCCCCAGAAAAAGTTACTGTCAGACGTGTCACATTTTCGCCATGTTGTCAGAACTCAATAACTGCGTGGTGAAACTGTTCCAAAGTCTGCTTTTAATAGTTATTTGATGCGCTGAGCACGAATCTGAAATTGGTTTGCAAAAAAAATTTCACCAAAAAAAGTTACTGTCAGACGTGTCACATTTTCGCCATGTTGTCAGAACTCAATAACTACGTCGTGAAACGGCTCCAAAGTCTGCTTTTAAGGGTTGTTCGATGCGCTGAGCACGAATCTGAGATCGGTTTGAAAAAAAATTTCACCAGAAAAAGTTACTGTCAGGCGTGTCACATTTTCGCCATGTTGTCAGAACTCAATAACGGCGTGGTGAAACTGCTCCAAAGTCTGCTTTTAAGGGTTATTCGATGCGCTGAGCACGAATTTCAAGTCGGTTTGCAGAAAAAATTTCACCGAAAAAAGTTATGGAAAAGTTGACTATTCACCGGCATTTTTAGATCTCGATAACTACGTGGTGCAACTGCTCAAAAGTCTGCTTTTAAGGGTTATTTGATGCGCTGAGCACGAATCCGAGATCGGTTTGCAAAAAAAATTTCACCAGAAAAAGTTACTGTCAGACGTGTCACATTTTCGCCATGTTGTCAGAACTCAATAACTGCGTGGTGAAACTGCCCCAAAGTCTGCTTTTAATAGTTATTCGATGCGCTGAGCACGAATCTGAAATTGGTTTGCAAAAAAATTTCACCAGAAAAGTTACTGTCAGACGTGTCACATTTTCGCCATGTTGTCAGAACTCAATAACTGCGTGGTGAAACTGCCCCAAAGTCTGCTTTTAATAGTTATTCGATGCGCTGAGCACGAATCTGAAATTGTTTTGCAAAAAAAGTTTCCCCAGTAAAGTTACTGTCAGACGTGTCACATTTTCACCATGTTGTCAGAACTCAATAACTACGTGGTGAAACTGCTCCAAAGTCTGCTTTTAATAGTTATTCGATGCGCTGAGCACGAATCTGAAATTGGTTTGCAAAAAAAATTTCACCAGAAAAGTTACTGTCAGACGTGTCACATTTTCGCCATGTTGTCAGAACTCAATAACTACGTAGTGAAACTGCTCCAAAGTCTGCTTTTAAGGGTTATTCGATGCGCTGAGCACGAATCTGAGATCGGTTTGCAAAAAAATTTCACCAGAAAAGTTACTGTCAGACGTGTACATTTTCGCCATGTTGTCAGAACTCAATAACTGCGTGGTGAAACTGCTCCAAAGTCTGCTTTTAAGGGTTATTTCGATGCGCTGAGCACGAATCTGAAATTTGGTTTGCAAAAAAAATTTCACCAGAAAAGTTACTGTCAGACGTGTCACATTTTCGGTACATGTTGTCAGAACTCAATAACTACGTGGTGAAACTGCTCCAAAGTCTGCTTTTAAGGGTTATTTCTTGCGCTGGGCACGAATCTGAAATTGGTTTGCAAAAAAATTTCACCAGAAAAAGTTACTGTCAGACGTGTCACATTTTCGCCATGTTGTCAGAACTCAATAACTACGTCGGTGAAACGGCTCCAAAGTCTGCTTTTAAGGGTTATTTCGATGCGCTGAGCACGAATCTGAAATTGGTTTGCAAAAAAATTTCACCAGAAAAAGTTACTGTCAGACGTGTCACATTTTCGCCATGTTGTCAGAACTCAATAACTACGTGGTGAAACTGCTCCAAAGTCTGCTTTTAAGGGTTGTTCGATGCGCTGAGCACGAATCTGAAATTGGTTTGCAAAAAAATTTCACCAAAAAAGTTACTGTCAGACGTGTCACATTTTCGCCATGTTGTCAGAACTCAATAACTACGTCGTGAAACTGGCTCCAAAGTCTGCTTTTAAGGGTTATTTCGATGCGCTGAGCACGAATCTGAGATTGGTTTGAAAAAAATTTCACCAGAAAAAGTTACTGTCAGACGTGTCACATTTTCGCCATGTTGTCAGAACTCAATAACCGCGTGGTGAAACTGCTCCAAAGTCTGCTTTTAAGGGTTATTTCTTGCGCTGAGCACGAATCTGAAATTGGTTTGCAGAAAAAATTTCACCGAAAAAAGTTACTGTCAGACGTGTCACATTTTCGCCATGTTGTCAGAACTCAATAACTACGTGGTGCAACTGCTCCAAAGTCTGCTTTTAAGGGTTATTTGATGCGCTGAGCACGAATCTGAGATCGGTTTGAAAAAAATTTCACCAGAAAAGTTACTGTCAGACGTGTCACATTTTCGCCATGTTGTCAGAACTCAATAACTGCGTGGTGAAACTGCCCCAAAGTCTGCTTTTAAGGGTTATTCGATGCGCTGAGCACGAATTTCAAGTCGGTTTGCAAAAAAATTTCACCGAAAAAGTTATGGAAAAGTTGACTATTCGGCATTTTAGATCTCGATAACTGCGTGGTGCAACTGCCCCAAAAGTCTGCTTTTAAGGGTTATTTGATGCGCTGAGCACGAATCTGAGATCGGTTTGCAAAAAAATTTCACCAGAAAAAGTTACTGTCAGACGTGTCACATTTTCGCCATGTTGTCAGAACTCAATAACTACGTGGTGAAACTGCTCCAAAGTCTGCTTTTAATAGTTATTCGATGCGCTGAGCACGAATCTGAAATTGGTTTGCAAAAAAGATTTCACCAGAAAAAGTTACTGTCAGACGTGTCACATTTTGCGCCATGTTGTCAGAACTCAATAACTACGTGGTGAAACTGCCCCAAAGTCTGCTTTTAATAGTTATTCGATGCGCTGAGCACGAATCTGAAATCGGTTTGCAAAAAAAGTTTCACCAGAAAAGTTACTGTCAGACGTGTCACATTTTCACCATGTTGTCAGAACTCAATAACTACGTGGTGAAACTGCTCCAAAGTCTGCCTTTAAGGGTTATTTGATGCGCTGAGCACGAATCTGAAATCGGTTTGCAAAAAAGATTTCCCCAGAAAAAGTTACTGTCAGACGTGTCACATTTGCGCCATGTTGTCAGAACTCAATAACTACGTAGTGAAACTGTTCCAAAGTCTGCTTTTAAGGGTTATTCGATGCGCTGAGCACGAATCTGAGATCGGTTTGCAAAAAAAATTTCACCAGAAAAAGTTACTGTCAGACGTGTACATTTTCGCCATGTTGTCAGAACTCAATAACTGCGTGGTCAAACTGCTCCAAAGTCTGCTTTTAATAGTTTTTCGATGCGCTGAGCACGAATCTGAAATTGGTTTGCAAAAAAAATTTCACCAAAAAAAGTTACTGTCAGACGTGTCACATTTTCGCCATGTTGTCAGAACTCAATAACTACGTGGTGAAACGGCTCCAAAGTCTGCTTTTAAGGGTTGTTCGATGCGCTGAGCACGAATCTGAGATCGGTTTGAAAAAAATTTCACCAGAAAAGTTACTGTCAGACGTGTCACATTTTCGCCATGTTGTCAGAACTCAATAACCGCGTGGTGAAACTGCTCAAAAGTCTGCTTGTAAGGGTTATTTCTTGCGCTGAGCACGAATCTGAAATTGGTTTGCAAAAAAAATTTCACCAGAAAAGTTACTGTCAGACGTGTCACATTTTCGCCATGTTGTCAGAACTCAATAACTACGTGGTGAAACTGCTCCAAAGTCTGCTTTTAAGGGTTATTTGATGCGCTGAGCACGAATCTGAAATTGGTTTGCAAAAAAATTTCACCAGAAAAGTTACTGTCAGACGTGTCACATTTTCGGCATGTTGTCAGAACTCAATAACTACGTGGTGAAACTGCTCCAAAGTCTGCTTTTAAGGGTTATTTCTTGCGCTCGGCACGAATCTGAAATTGG